CCCCCCTCCTAATACATGATACACAGCACACACATCCCCCGTTGCCCTCTCAACCCCCGGGGAACCGATAGGCAAACTCTTCAAAGACTTTCTCTTTGTTGGAATACCAGTAAAGTAAAGCTCTGATCAATAAGTACAGAGTCAGGTACATCTTTTTTTTCTTTCCTTTTTTTTTCATGTTGAAAAATTTAACTAATTTTTTTATATGTATATAAACTCAATCACATGAAGCTCACTTTCATCAGCAGTGGTTTGCTCTGTTACAAAAACGAAATCAAACGGTGACCACTGAGAATGTCCGCTGCTTCTTTTTCTCCAACCGTACGAGCGCACGCCTGTTTGAGGAAAGAACCCGAAAGGTGATGGTGAGCTCTCAGGACGCGGCTTTGACGTGCGCCATGTTGGACCAAAGAAACCCACCTGAGGAAATGTGTGCTGCTGAGATTTACCCGTACAAAACATCCTTTTAGCAAGCCATATGAACACACAAACAAACACACTTGCTCTCCTTATTTCATCCCATGCACGTGCACACAGACACACGCATAAGCACCCACCAGGGTTGAGTAGCAGTGCCCTAGTCAGCTTCGCATGAGGTTTCCCAGGATCAAAGGATCCGTTTCTTATCCTTCAGCAGAAGCACCAGACAAAAGCAAACAGGATGAAGGTACAGACATCTTCACTTGGCTATCAACTTTGTGTTTTCCGTCGCTCTCAGATGGTTGCAATTTTGCCAAAACCTAATGTGAAACAGAAACACACATTGGATGAGACAAACCCAAGCTCCCGAATGCAGGTGGCACAACAGTGAGCCAAATTAAGTGCATCACATTCAGGAGCAAATATTTGTTTTTTGCTTGTTTTTTTTTTTGTATTCTTTTGCGAAGAGGAGCCTTCATACAGGACACTTCTCTGTGATGCCAACTGACTTTTAAAAAAAATGTCTCTTTCATTTAACTGTGGAACAGCATCGCTCATCCCGAAGTGGCGTCTCCTTTGGCTGCGTCGTGTAATTACTGTGATTTATTTCTGAGATTTTATTGATATATTGATTTACTGACGTTTGTGTATATACGGCGTGGTTGCCATAAGCGCTCCGTGTGGCGTGACAGTTTTGCTGATTTTGATTTGCACACTCCCTCACAATCCACTTTTGTCTTTTGTTCTCTTCATTTGCCTTTGTTTGCTTTTCCTTTCTTTACAAATACATTTTGTTTTTTACATTCTCCATTTATTTCTCTTCTCTGTGGTGTCTGTATCTAGGCTAATATGCCATCACTGTGCTGTGAAATGTTTCCCTCTGCTGGACAAACAAACACACACACACACACACACACAAACACACACACACAAACACACACACACACACACACAAGCACAGACACACAAAGCACAGAAGACCTCGTTTTACAGACGTAAACTCTAACATATTTGAAAGCACGCACATGCACAAGCACACTTATACCCCCTACTTGTTACTGTACTTTCCTTCTCCTCTTCCCCACTTTCTAACACCGAACCTGTAAGATATTGTACATAGCTCTTTTTTCTATTGAGAGTGTGATTTTTACACGAGCATCACCAAGACTCTGTGTGGCAATTGAAGGAAAATCTTGTTTTTGTTACAATGATGGAGAATTCGTGCAGACGTGCCGAACCACTCTGACCCATCAGTTGGAAAGTACTCAGATGACTCACTTTTTGTTTCAATTTGCTGCGTCTGTCTGTTGGACTGAATAAAGCTGGATTGGAAAAGTCATTTTACTCTGACATCAGACACTATGTGATCCTGACTTTCTGTCTTTTTATTAGGTCATTTTCACTTTCCTTTTTTCATGCTTTGATCATCCATTCATCCATCCTCTACTTTTCAGTTGTGATGGGGCAAGAGTGAGGTTACATCCCAGACAGGTCAACAGTTTATAGTGGGGCCATAAATTTAAAGCATAGATATCTAAACACCCTAAGAGATCTATTTTTCCTTTTTCAAGGCAATAGGTCAAGCTGTGAACACACATTTCACAAATTATTGCATTCTAGTTAGCACTAATATTTTATCTAACAGCTTTCACATCCAACTTAACAGATTAAGAGCTTTAATTTGATGAATGGTGTAATATTAATGATGAATGGGCATATTTTCTATTTTGGTTTTACTATGCTCTACTATGATCACCAGCCAGCTGCTAACTTTGTTTGTCTGCTGTCTACTTGGACCAGTTTTACAGTTACCAGAGGTTTCCCCACTGAAGGGAGCTTCCTGCTCTTAAGTCTTAATTATCTGGCATAAAGTGAGACTCATTCATGATACCAGCAGATCAGCTGATCCTCATGCTATTCCACATTAGCTGATCCGACTTATGCTATTTGAGTTGGTGTAGCCTGTCTGCAGTTAATGCACTTCTGCAAGCTGCTTTGCAACCCACCTTGATCACTACCCCTTCTCGAATGCTCTATCTGACTTCATCAATGTCATGTCTATTGTGTAATAAAGCCGCAAGGTCCCAGAAAAGAATAATTGTTGCAGATGGAAAGGCATGTATCACTTTTGGTTCCCCATTCATGTGGATGTAAAATAAAGATGGCCCAATTTTCTGATGATAGGCCTGTGTTGTAAATATGTGCCTCTCTGGCTAATCATTGGCATTATAACATTAGTGATAATACGCCATCAGACTGCGTGATAACAACTAAATCCTCCATCAGCCTACATATCTTTAAGTTTTTTGTTAACCTTCCTTACGAACGCTCCACTCACACTCTATGTGGCTGTCATAGGTATCATTTTGGAAATTAAAACAAAAAGAACATAACTTCTCTTCATTTTTTTTTTTTAATTGTGCTCAGCTAAATAAAAATGACCATCTTTTGGAGATCCAAATCTAGCACCCAGTAGATTTTATTTTTCATTATAGCTTCTACTTAACCAAAAGCATGTGTTTGACCATTGAGAATATGTGCTAAACTACCCTTATATAGTTCCCTGATGGATGCTAAGCTTCATTATCATCAGCATCTTGTACTTGTGAGAGGTTTGATTTCACTGAAAAAACAAATAAATAAATAATCAAAAGTGTGACATTTTGATGGCTCAGAGAGCCAGGGCTACTTATACCACATAGTGTACCTGCAACTTTGTGAAGCTGAGTCAGACATGTGACCTTTGCTGCATGATGGCCCTTTGTTTCATGTGTTTCCTCATTTCTTTCCAGTCTTCAATGTCCCAGTGAAGCAGAAATGCCTTAAGATAATCTTGATGACAAAATGTAACGAAAGTGTTTTCTAAGCAGTGACTGGCTGTAATTTCATTTGCAAGTGCGAATTTGTCATTTGTCCAAATTCTCTGTGAATCCTCTGTGATCCAAAATGCACAAATGAGACACAATCAAACATGAAAGGTAAACACGCCCGCCACGAAGACTCGGATTCTCCACCGGCTCGACTGCCGTCGCCGCAGCTTTACTTTCCTGTAAAGTCTTCGGTAACACATGTTTAAAAATCAAACAACAAACACGCTGCAGTTGACTGACATGTGAATAAAAAGCACCAGTCTCCTTCAGATCTGCTACTCAGAGGCAGGACCGTGTTTCCTTTGATCCTGATGCAGCAAACCCTCTGTTTTTGTAAAGATTTGTGTGATGAGAACAATAAATGGATATTGAAATAAGAAAAGCTGTCTGTGTCAGTCTGCACTTCTTGTTTTGCTGTTGTGTTCTCAGAGTGATTGGCGGTGATTTTGTGTGTCAGAGCTGCTGCATTTGTTTTGCATGTGAACAGGATGCTTTTTTTGACTTGAGGAAAGGAAGCGGGGAGAAAAGGCTGCCAAGTCACACAAAAACTGGACGAAAAAATCAGCATCAGCAGGTCTTATGGAGAGATAGGTCCAAATTTTACATTTTTGGTTAAAAAGGTTATCAATATATAAAGAGGAGGTCAGGAGAAAGTTAGAACAGTGAACTGCCATGTAAAACACAGTGGAGACTCTATCATGATTTGAGACTACATTTCATTTCGTTTTGTTGGGAAAAAGTGATAACGTCAGGGCTTTTTAGAAAGCCTTCTGTCCCCTTCTTTGTATTTTATAAATGCAGCTCAACTCCTAAAGTATCTTCTGATCTCCTGACATGGAGCCAAAGTATCACTGATTAAAAGAAAAAACTAATAACAAAAGGTACAGATTCATTTAAAATGATTAGTCACGACTTACTACATTATTATTCCCATTCCTTTCCCATATACACATGGTGTATATCTCCAGATGACAAATTCTTTACAAATGTGTCAGTACAGCAATGAAAAAAGTCCCACATCCAACATTCTACTTGACAGAAAGTACTTAGCAGTATTACCAGCAGCATGTCTCTATGTTCATTATCATTAAAAATCATGTTACTGGATCGTTAACTCTACATAACCTAGGCCCTCTGTCTCTTGATAAGTCTCACTGGGTGTCAGAAGTTTAAACATTAGAACAGAAAAAATGTTCTTTTATGCTTTTAAAGTTTTAAAGTGAAGTAGTTGTTTAAATGTAATCAAAATGAGAGAAGTTTTAAGGTAATTTTTCTCGACTTTAATTTTTTTTTAATCTAAAATCTTACTACCTAAAGTTACTTTTGAATAAATGTATGAAATCAGTTGCAGACAGGGTGCCCTATGTCTCTCTAAAATGTCTAGCTGCTGAGTTGTAAGTTAAAGTAACATTAAAGTGTCACGAAGCAGACCTGCGGTAGTTGGCTAATTTCCACCTCCATCTGTTCCATAGGGAACTCGTCCTGCTTTATTCGTGGCCTCTACTAGAGTAGCTTTGCATACTTCACAGCTCAAAATAACCCTTATTTATCTCGAGCTGATGCA